TTCCCTACAACTCATGTAACAGAGTTTTGCTCTCTCAACGATGACAACTTTTGACATCAAAGTCCTATACCACGTTTGTGTTTCTCTAAGGAGGAGAAGTACAAGTGTGTTCTCTGAGAGGAGGTTATGCATGAAGAAGGAATGATGAATTGTATATCCTATTTCTAGATATGTCGCAGACTAAATGGTGTTCGATTTACAAGCTGTAAAAGTGCCAAGGATAGGACTGCCATGTCGGTCACCCTAGAGCAGTGTTTGATCCTACAGCATGAACATGGAATGGCTCCACAGGTCTTCACCCAGGCTCTGGAATGTATGAGGAGGTAAGAGTTTGACTGCGTCACTTATTCCTAAATGAGGAACCATGCAAACTGCAGAGGAGCAGTGGTCTCTGTTTCTGTCAAAAGGAAAAAAAGTAACATAAAGCCAGAAAAATGCAAAACTGGCTGCTAGAATTCATCCCTCCCTTGCATGTATTAGTGAGTTCAATATGCTAAAGCTGGTTTTTACCAGATTTGGATCAGATGGGTGTTAGTTTTCAGTAGTGAATCAGGAGTTTTCAGAGGAGCATGTAAAAACGTGTTTTCAATTAATGCTGAGTTTACAGAACAGGAAACTGGTGCTTCTTTGAAAGTTGTTTAATGGTGAGGTTACCTTAACTGTCATAGCATGGGGTTTCTTAGTTCTAGATCAGGTAGATTTCTCAGGGATGACCTGTCTTTTGTTCTTGGAAACATAGACACCTGCAGTTTGCACTGGTTTGCCACGTGTATTCTTTAGCAGTGAAACACTGCTCACTGGGCGAAATGTCAGTATGAGTGTTTCACAATACAGCAACCAAATTTCATCACATGTCAGTGTGCTGTTGTCGTATCAATATAATGATGTTCTGTATTCTGAAGCAGCAGAGATGTTTGCAGAATTAAATACTGTACTTAAAAAAAAAAAAAAAAAAAAATCTGTTTACTGTTGTTCAATGCCTTGTTTCAAGCACTGCTGGAAAACTCCGTAACTCACATACCAAAAGAAAGGATAAGAAATCTAGCTTTAGTCTTTATCAATGTAGTTCAACAATGCTGTTCAGTCCTGTTTTTCAACATTCACTCTTACTGAATGTACTGTACTGTGTGTCTTCTCACCAAATTCTCTAGAGTGTTCAATTCTCTTATCCTTTCTGTATGTTTTTGCTGTTTGACCCTTTCTTACTCTTCAGATACCTAGAAGGTAAATGTCTCATGTAATAATACTTGCAGCCTCTTACACTAATAATTTGGTTTTTATATCTACATCTAATCGGATGTCACTGGACTTTTTTATTTTCACTTTTTTGCTGCACTTTTTGCTGTGTTGTTACAGAGTTAGTACGGTACATGAAAACTGCATTCAGAGAGTAGTTAAACCTTGGTATTAGAAACAAAGCTTGGAACAGCTTTTTGAGGGAGAAGTTAACAACTTAAAATGAAGCTAAGTGGCTCTCAGATATCTCTATTTAAATTATAGGACTTGTCAATTTAGACATCTGAAGGGAAAAAGCTTTGTTGCACAGTTGTTTATTTAGTAAGAATAAAAACAATGAGTATAGTAGTAGGAATCTTGTTGTTTTCTTTAAATTAGTTACTGAGTTAATGGCTTTTTTTAATGCAGTTGTGGACACAGTAGAGACAGGGGTTAATAATAACATTGTTTTGGACCTTCAGACTATCAATTTAATATAACACTGGATCAGATAAAATATTGACCCAAGAAACACATTGCTTTATGTTGACCTACACAGGGATATTGAAAGAGGGCCAATTTAATCAAAACCTTTGGCTAGTGTGTTCTAGCAACATGAGGGACTTGCTCTAACAGGTGAAAGACGTGACTTTCTCTTCTTCTGTTAAATCTTTGACTAAGAGAGATTGTGCAGAACAAATACTGACTAGTCCTGAAGGAATACTAAGATTAGACCATTCTTCAAGCCCATCACTCTTTCTTCCTCATATCTCATTGCTCTTTGGGGTAGGTTGTTGTGTTTTAAAAATTATTTGCCAATTCTGCTCGGGAACAATGGCACAGAATTAACAGTTTAACAAGAGAGATAGGATTACAGAACAAATATGTAGGATTCCAATTCCACCCAAACCCATTTCAACCTGGACAGGATGACCTGACCTAGATGACAGACGTAGGAAGTGAGAAAGTTGCAAATTACTTCCAGGGCATTCAGAAAACAGGCTTTTTCTTTTAACTTCGTTCTTTTATTTGTGTAATTGTACTAGAAAAGGAAGGCTTGCATCAGTCTTGAAGACTTCTGAAGTTTCTGGGGCAGTTGGGAGGGCAGGGAAGAAGCACTATTAAGTTGTGGGAGTCAAAGAAAGTATTACATCTCTTCTCTACTGGTAACTTTCCAGAGAAGGAAAGCATCCTTGCTTACACTGTTCTTGAAAAAATTAAGAAAGCACCCTCTTCTTCCATATGATGTTGGTCTTCAGAGGTGTTAGTTCCCGCTTACTCATCCTTAGGGACTTCCTTTCCTTCCTAGTCTTGTGATAATTGCGTATCTATGATAATTGTGTTCAGTGAGCATGGACATCAGGGAGAGAACACTGAGTGCTCCTTGTAGATTCTTGTAGAAATTCACAAACACAAGTTTGTGACTTTCACCTTAGAAACAAATATCCTATTACAATAAACTCACTTTTCTGTAAATAAGTCACAGCTTTTGCCGTCCCAAATCAAATACATGGTAACTCACAGCCTACAAATAGTAAAATCATGATGATATGTCTGGAAGTCCAAGCTACAGAGGAAATGACTACCTGGCTGGTAAAGGCAGCTCAAGAGTCAAATTCCAACTGGATCACATAGTCTATTCCATCTGCAGCAGTGCCAACACTCCCCACTAGACCTGTGTCTCCCCGCCCTCCTCCTACTGTCCTGTCAGATACGCCGGTGGAGCTGTTTGTGTGAATATAGTCTAATCCAGTTTCAGCCAAAATCAGCCTGGGTAGCAAAATCCTTTACATGTTTAAGGTAGCCCAGCTCATTTTCATTAAACCAATTAGGAAGTTGTGACACAAGCAATTCAGCCAACAGAGAAGAGCTGTCTCTGATAGGGGCTTTTGAAAAGCAGCTGGAAATGGGGTGAGGGAAAAAAATCTCTTCTAGCTGCCATGGTGCTGACTAAAAAGACTACATAACAAAGTCCTGACAGTCGTGTTTGGATATGACCACTCATTGTAATAAAACAGCCATAAAAAGTTTCTTCACTGGTTGACCTGCTTTAAGAATAAAATTGTGGTGGGTTGACATTGGCCACCTGCCAGACGCTCACCCAGCTGCTCTCTCACTCCCCCTCCTCAACAGGGCAGGGAGAAAAAGGCAATGAAAAAGCTCGTGGGTTGAGATAAAGACAGGGAGATCACTTGCCAGTTACTGTTACAGGCAAAACAGACTCGACTTAAAGAAAATTAATTTATTGCCAATAGATTTGGATGGTAGGAAACAAAGACAAAAATTAAAATACCTGCTCTCCACAACCTCTTTTTTCCCAGGCCCAAGTAGTTCACTCCTTGGTTCCCAACTCCTCTGCCTCCTCCCCAGGCTGAGCAGTTGTCGTGGTTTAACCTGGCAGGCAACCAAATACCACGCAGCCGCTCACTCACTCCCCCCCACCCCAGTGGGACGGGGAGAGAATCGGAAGGGTAAGAGTGAGAAAAACTCATGAGTTGAGATAAAGACAGTTTAATAAAACAGAAAAGGGAGAATAATAATGATAATGATAAAATATACAAAATAAGTGATGCACAATGCAATTGCTCACCACCCGCGCTGACCACTAACCAGGTAGCAATCGGTACTTCCTGGATCACGCCTACCATTCATATACTGAGCATGACGTCACATGGTATGGAATACCCCATTAGCCAGCTGAGCTGGCTGTCCTGATTATGTTCCCTCCCATCTTGTGTACCTAGCTCAGTCAGTAGGCATGGGAGCTGTCCTTGGACTAGGAGGGGACTTAGCAACAACTGAAAACATCAGTGTGTTATCAACATTCTCCTCATACTAAATCCAAAACCCAGCACTAACAAGAAATTTAACCCTATCCCAGCCGAAACCAGGACAGCAGTGCACAGGGGATGGGGAATGGGGGTTTGCGGTCAGTCCATAACAGCTCCTCTCTGCTGCTCCTTCTTCCCTGCACTTTTCCCCTGCTCCAGTGTGGGTCCTTCCCACGGGCTGCAGTCTTTCAGGATAAATGTAGTCCTGCATGGGCTCTCCACGGGCTCCAGTTTCCATCAGGAAATATTCACCTGCTCGACCATGGGGTCCTCCACGGGCTGCAGTGTGGATGTCTGCTCCACCGTGGTCTTCCCCATGGCTGCAGGGGAATCCCTGCTCCAGCACCTGGGGCACGTCCTCCCCTCCTTCTTCTCTGACTTTGGTACTTGCAGAGCTGTTTCTCACATTTTTTTCCCATCACTCCTCACTGCCATGCAGTGTTTTGCCTTTTCTTACAGACGCTTTCCCCGAGGCACCGTCATCGTGGCTGCGGGGCTCAGCTGTGCCCTGCTTGGGTCCATTGGAGCTGGCTGGAACTGGCTGTGTCCGGCACGGGGCAGCCCCGGCCTCCCCTCACAGAGAGGATTCTTATATGCAAGCTGGATTAGCTGAATTTGCTTTGTCTCTTTACCCTGGTCCTCTCCTAGAGGTAGTCTGCCGATGAATGTTTTGATGTGAGACACTGTGTACAATTCGGTATATTTGGTATTTCCAAAAGGTGACTTTTCAGCCCTTGGGTGGAAGCATCTACATGGGCCAACAGTGACAGGGAAAGCACTTTCCAGCTCTTGCCTGCATTCCCACTGTATGTGTCTGTGCGTATGTCTTAGTGTAAAATTGAGTAGCTTGATACTAATTTTTAACGACAGACATGTGGCATGTGTTGTCCATTATGTTATCTTGTCATTATCTTGAGCCTTCTTCCTTCTTTCCCTCCCCCATTGTTTTATTCCCTTATCTATATCCCAAAACACTTTTCTTCCTCCAGACTATTCTGTTGAGCCTTTATCCGCCACTTTCCAGTCAACATTAGCTTTCTGCTCACAGATCGTGCCCCAGTTTGTTTAATATTCCCTCACCATCTCCTTCAGAGGTCTTTCTATATTTTGAATACCTTTCAGTGCATATTTATGTCCAGGCAATTGTCAACAAATACATTTGCTTTTTCTTACCTGTACCAGATACATTCCTGTATGTGCTCTCATTATTCACCAGTGGCCCAGGCAGGAAGGAGAGTACTTGCCTTTCAGATGTGTGGTGGACAGCAGCTGCATCG